AAAATGTATGCTTAAAAAGCGAAACTATAAAAAGTTTTTTGGGTGTTCGTTAGACGTTGCTATACTCAGCTCGACGAGCTCTATCGATTGGCTAACTCAGATTGTAATTTGGGGGTGTTCGTAGCTGTTCGTGGGTGTTCGCGTCTTTTAGCAATACCCGTACCAGTACGGCGAAAATTGTTTCACCTCATTCTCTTTCTCAAAATCTTTAAAGGTTTTACTCGTCTTCTGACACTTAATCTTATTCAAGTTGAACAGAATTAACAGTCTGAATGACTACTTCATAATGTTTGTGAAATTGCAGCTCTAATCTCTCAAACTGATGCAGTTCTACAATCTTTTTTAGTGTGAATCATTGGGGACTAGAACACTCTGCCGGATATAGTAGTTCCATCTCTCAGTTAGTACTAAGTATTTTAAAAGAATGCTAAGACTCCATCTCTAGCTATGAAAATAGAACAAAAAAGTTATTCTTTCTAAGATGGCAGTGTTTAGAACTGTTTTCAAGTTTGTATATTATGTACGAAATTCGTAACTTTTTCATAGATCCAACCTGGACATCAGCATCTTCTCACTTATTTTTTGTATATATATTTAAATAAATAAGTAAATATATATTTCATATTTATTTTAATTTTATATCTGTTGACTTAATAAAAATAAAATAAATATTTCTCTTCTACTGAAAATCAGTGATAAAAAAAGCAAAAAAAAGGGTTTCTTCTCTGTTAGAGAGACTTTTCTCGAGCATACGGTATCGAAACGAAAAAAGTGACGTTATTCAAATATTTGCGAAGATTGTTATGCACTTGACATTACAAAAAAATAGCGGATAATTGAATAAATAATTGAATATAATATAAGTAAAGCGAAAAAGAAACGAACAAAATGAAACCTTAATTTTTTTCGTTCGTTCGTTTCGCTCTATACACGTACGTATTACGTTATATTCGAATTCATTTTCATCTTAAGACCTTGAGCTATACATTAATAAGAATTTTTTTTATTAATTTGCCTTACTAAAAAGAATTTTGAAAGTAGTCTCATATTTTTCGAAACGATATTCGGACAAGAGTTTCAGAAGAGTTTAACTAAACGCGGAAACGATGCATATATGATCCTATCAGATATAGTCGTGCAATAAACTAACAGTTCAGCTTATAATAATCAATTGGGATGTTCGGATACAACTAAAATGTTTTTATTTGGTTGGAGCATCATTGCAGGTCTGTTGTCGTAATGGATGGTATTTAAGCTAACAATTTTTTTCGGCGTTTGGTTAAAAAATGTTGTTGTTTATTGAAGAAACTACAATAAATCTAGATTGACATTGAAAAGAAAGGATAAAAACGATATGTTGCTTAAATATTGACTATGACCAGGTAATCGAAGGACGAGAGATAATGTTGAATTCATGTGGATAATCTTTAATTCTTAAATCTTTATTCTAATGGCACAAAGAATGGTAAGTTTCACTCATGAATGCTAAAACAAATAATTGTATTGAAGCAGATGGGAAATCAGGTGGTACAAATTTACCAAAATCTTTTGTTACTTAGTGGAAATTGTATGGATTTTTGTGTTGTTGTTTGCATTTGGTCACAATTCAATTATGAACTGTATTTTGCACACAACACTGAAGAACAACCATTTATTGTTCCAATCGGTATGATACACCAGGGACAAATACGTGCCCTTTCATCTAACCATTATTTATCAGCTTCAATTGCTTTAGGGGCTAGCTATTTAGAAAGCCTGATCAAAGGTTGGAGAAGCTAGTTAAAGCAGGCTGAAATTCCACAGATGAGGAAAAAAACTTGTTATGCTCTGGACAGAGTTGTAACCGGTTTCACGAACTGACGCGTCCAGTTCGATATGACTTTGTAGATGGATCGGTAATAAGATCCTTTTAAAGTTTTTTGGGGAGCGTAGCAAACACAGAAACATCAACATGATGTAGCAGATGGATTGCAAACGAAATATAACTTGATATTTTTGATCGTAACAAAACAGATTTTGTTCCGGCTCGCAAAGCTACCGTAATAATACCAGTTTTACAGAAAAATGTTAGATCGACTTATCTATTGGCGAAAAAAACGGATCAGTGTATATATCCGACTGACAGATCAAGAGTCCGAAGAAAGAATAATGATGTTTTTTCTGGGACTCATAGCTCAATTGATTGAGCATCAGGATAGTGGGTCGATAGTTCTGATTCAAACTAACTCCGATCATTGTTTTCTATATCAGAAAGATGCATAACTGTGACATCTCTGATAGTAGGAAAAGACAAGTTTTGACGTATAAACGACTATCGAGTATATTAGAAAATACGAATTGAATATTGAAACGGTACTTGGTTATGGTAGCACTAGTAATAAGATATGAAAATATACGATGACATGTTGTCAAAACCAAAAACGTTTTTTGCGTTAATCAAGTGAATAACGCAAAAAAGAATACAAAAACATATAAGTAGCGTAAAGCAAAAAATGGTTACAAATGTGACATTCTGCAAAATTTTGTATATTCTTCTAAAACAAAATATTTACAAAATTCTATACTAGTTCGACTGATGCAGAATTTTGTAAATATTTGGTTTTAATCCAGAATTTTGTAAATATTTTATTTTAGAACAATATACAGAATTTTGAAGAATTTCGCATTTGTAACCATTTTTTGCGTTACGCTACTTGCGTTTTTGCATTTTCTTTTTTGCTTAACCACGCAAATAAACATTCGCCATTTCTACATGGGTATGGATTTTTGATAAAAATTCTCTAGAATCACCAACTACATTAAAATGTTATTCACCGCATCCTATTTAATAAGTACCGTTGTACGCCATTGCCCATATACGATTATAATCTTGAATTTGGCTAAAAATCACACTATAATAACGAATCGCCAGAAGACATCACACAAATTTAAAATTTTTATAATGTCTACCATTATCTATGTTTGTGTTTAGAGAAAATTAGATATTTCAGTTAGGCTAATTTGGACGTGTAGGAAACCGTTGTGTCGACGTTTTTCTTATATTGATACTTATTTGTTGGATTCACATTGATCTTATTTTAGATTAGTGTCTACATATCTGGCTGTAAAGTCTGATACATTTCCAACGGACTTATCAAATGTAATAATATCAGCAGCTGTGAGGTTTGTTTCGACCATGACCATAACGGGAATAGTGGATCCAAAGAAGTCGAAAGGAAGAGGCGGCATCGTTTTGTAACGCTTCCAAAAGCGGCATTTTTAATAGAAAAAGATGATGAAAAAAGTTTTTATTACCTGATTTAATATTTTCTTCACAAAATTTTACTGCTTCATTTCACTCCAGTTCTTTTTCGCATTCTGTTTTTACAATTATATTCTTTTGTAGAGACACATGTATTGCAGACTATATGGTAGAAAAGGAAAAACAAAAAAAAATGTAATAGTTGCAGAAAGAGAAACAACATCATCGACAACATCAAAATATTAATTATATGTATATGTGATCAAGGTCAGGATACATAAAAAATATATATTGTTCTATTTTAAGCTATACATCATCTAACGACGATTAACGACCGACTTTATTAAAATAAAATAAAAAAGTACGATCTTCGTTCATCACATAAAACCCTCATTCTTACTTGTGTAAAAATGGTTACAGTTGAAAAACGATATACAACAGTATCTACCAGCCAGAAACGTCCATCAAGACGTTATGTTCTCGAAGATCCATATAAAACAACTAGAACAAGTCGTAAACAAACAACGATTGTTACTTCTAATGGAGAACAACAGCGACAAAATTCATTAAGATCTCGTTCAAACGATTATTTTATTCTAAATGGTCAAAATGGCTATGATGAATACGATGTTGAACGTTCATTTCATAATATTGAGTCAACACCTGGTACACCGATAAGATATATTGATGAAACAAATAGAACAAATCGTACACAAACAATAGTTGTTGCTTCTAATGATGAACAACAGCGACAAAATTTATTAAAATTTAATTCAAATGATTATTTTATTCTTAATGGTCAAAATGGCTATGATGAATACGATGTTGAACGTTCATTCTATGATATTGAGTCATCACCTGGTACACCGATAAGATATTTTGATAATAATAGTATTGAACAAATATTAGAAATGAATGAAGGTGGGCGAACATTATCATCGTCAAGATCATTACAATCATTGGTATCACCTGATATGAGATATTATCCAATTAATGTTGATCCAAATCCAGAATTAATCGTTCGATCAAATGGACAACGTGTAAAATATAGACAAGATGTAAGCATCAGATATTTAAGGCCGCCGACTCCTCCACCTCCAGGAGTAAGTCTTTGTAAATTTTTCGGCTATGTGTGAGAATCATTCATTTATTTTACCTACAGCCAATTATTATTCGTGAGGTCTATGCTCCATCTCGTCCAGTAGCAGTAAGCTTACCTTCCCCTTGTCGCTCATAACAGTCTAACGATGTAATCTTGGTTTTAGCCACCAGTTATTTTAAGACAACGTCCACGACGTCCGAGAACACCTTCACCAATTATTATTCGTGAACGTCCTCCTGATCCTCCAGAACGCGTGCCAACAACAGTTATACAGAGTAAGCCAACCGCTTAAAATAGACTTTATAGATAAAGAAATGAGTTAGAGCTATGCTGATAGATCCAGCAAATGAATACTGCTAAACAGATGTGTTTTGGTTAGTTTATCGAAAAAAATTAATGTGATACTCCTCTAATTGAACAGCATATAGTATTTGAGATGCATAAACATGAGCCAATATAAGGCTTAACAATGTCAGCTATACATTTCATGGAGAAATCTAACCTTAGATACCATGCGAACTATAATTCTTGTCTGGGAAGAGTACAAAATTCGTATTTCTCAGATACTTTGATTTTAGCTTGCACATTCGTTTTTCCTGCACAAGATACCGAACAATTTTTTACAAAAATGTGAATTTTAACTGTTTAAAAGTCGTTAAATGAGAAAAATGAGCACAGCATACCTATTTGATGTTCTTAATCATGAAACATTTTTCAAGGATTATACGTATGTCAGGACTTCATACCTATGCGATTCAGCCATATAAATTTTATCTTTCCGTAGGCAGCGATCTTTGACGCTCTCTCCGATGCGGTTCCATCTGTTAGCCCCTATGGTCTCACAATATTTCATGTTTATCTGTCATCACATCCAACATCTACCTGAGCACTTTGACCTTCTGTGGCAGCATATAAGCAGGCGTCAACCTGTAACAGTTTTTTCTCAGAGTCCGCTCGTGACAAGGAAATTCACACCCACAATTACTTTGCCTATTGTTACGATTGTTCGAGGCGTTGTGCTTGTTTATCTTGACATTAATCATTCTTTTATTGCTTCTTCATGCGTGTTACAAACAATACTCCTTTCTGTTTCTGTCAATATCAATCAATACAATTTCATTTCAAGGACTACTTGACTTACGAGGGAACCTTTCCAGGTGTCTGCCCGCTTTTCTAACGAAATGTGGTAGTTTATAGGTAATCGACCATGCTGATTCTGAATATAATAACCGTTTCTGCCAGTAGGTCTTTCCTGACCGGTTTCTGGAAAACTAATTTTTCAGAACCAGAAAGGCCTATGGGCAAAAAACGGTTATCATATTCAGAATCAGCATGGCCGATTACCTATAAACTACCGCATTTCGCTAGAAAAGTGGTCGAACACCTGGAAAGGTTCCCTCGTTAGTCGATGCCTTCCATCTTTCTTCTTCTTTTACAGTTTCTTCTACAGTACTCAATACAAGAAATAATCTTATTGTTTGTTGGAAAATCGGAACTGTTTTTCCGATTTCTTCCAAACAACTTTCTCAACAATCAAGTATCCTATAATCCTTGTTTAAATAAGCAGTATAATTCAACGTGCTTCCTCATCTCTAACATAATTTTTAACGCGGTTGTAGTCTTCCAGGCTATCCTTGGACTTAAAAATAAATCAACGCTCGGTTCTGATAGAATTTCTATTATGTTTTTAAACTTTGTGCTGCTGTCATTTCACCTCAACTATATTTTATTTTTAGTCTTTCTCTTAAGCCAAGTATTTTCCCTTCTGAATGGAAAAATGAATTAATTACAACCATTCACAAAAAAGGTAGTAAATTCGATGTTAAAATGTATCGATCAACCTCTCTTCTGTCCAATATCTCTGAAGCTTTTGAAAACATTATGTAAAAGCATTTGCTTTCATATCTCGTAATCGCTAACTTTTTCTTTTCTACGCAATTCGAATTAGAACGCATCTCATTCTTTAACTATTGATACTCGTCTTCTCATTACAAGCAACCTATATGCATCTCTTGATCAAAGGAAAAACTAGTTAGAATTAATTTTGACTTTGAAAAGGTTTATGGCAAGATTCCGCGCAGCATTTTGAGAGTGAAACTTTCATCTGAATATGCGATAGTTCTCTTGGCTGATTTCCTATCTCTCTGTGCGTACTTAGACTGTTGTTATTAGGATTGTCTCATTCCTCTTTAGTACCTGTAACATCTGAGATGCCGCTGAGGAGCGTATTAGGTTCAATCTTACTTCTAATTTTTATCAACGATTTATCTCAGTCAATAAAGTCTTCTTTGCTACTGCCTTGCTCGAAAGCGACGAGTGATCCATTCTAGTTAATTTTATTTTAATCTATCAAAATGGCACGCAGACTACACAGTAATTTTATAGTGAACATTTCGATGAAAATATAAAATTTGCCCTTTTCTTATTTTATCGCATAGTCTACGGCTTGGACAAAGGTAACGGCGTTACACTTTCCGTTTTTTTGAAAAAACTGTACTACTATCCATCCCAAAATACAAGACCCGTGAGCATTTTTTGAATAACTTTTGATAGGAATGAGATAGAGACCTGCGATTTTCGCTGTTCAACAGCCAAGACTTGAGATTGCTTCAGGCGCAATATGAAAATAGCATAAAGGAGAGTATTTGCTACTCACACTCAAAGGTAATAAGCTCAAACATTTAAGCAGAAATGAACAGAAACTCTCGTATCGTTATGAGAAAGATTGAAGAATCCACTTTTTTAGCGCAAGACATATCGAGCTGAAATTTTGAGCATTGAATAAGGACTATTAGTTAAACCTTCTGTAAAAGTGTCATTTTTGAACTCTTGATGGTTGCAAAGATAATTTCTTTTATAGGCCTTTCTTTTGTAGAACCTCTAAATTGCTACTAAATAATTACTCGTTCTTCTCGTGTCCTCACATCATCCTACAATATCCGTAAAAAATTCCTTAGGCAGCATTTAAAACTTGTTCGATCCATTCTGACTTATTTGTTTTGATTTTGTTATCTTTATAAGATGCTACAGAACTTTTCTTTAAGCTTAAAAGCTTTTTGTGTTTGCATTAGACTTTTGTACCGCCTTGCATTATTCTATTTCTTGCTAATAATAATCATTCATTCATTCAATCATTTATTCCACTTCCTACTTTTCAGTTTTCACACTGCGTGAAACCTAGGCATTTTTTCGTAACACCTGTATAAAAAGACTAGTGTACATGTATTAAAGCAAAGGGTGTCCAGATATACCTCTAAACATTTTTATTTTCACGAATTTTCGCCTTTTGTTCTAAAATATATCTGAAACGATATGTCAGATATATATACTAGCCATCGTGCGTTAGAATACTGAACAGTTCCTCTACTACCCATAATATGATCAACATATAGTTTCCAATAGTCATAATTAAATACCAGTCGTAGCTCTCGATTACTTTAAGAAAACGGGCGTGTGTGGTGAATATACGGTAAAGTCTTATTCCGCTACGCTCTTCTCGGACTTCGTCGTTTCTTTCGTCTCCAGCACCACACATATTGGATGGATCTAATCGAATAGTGTCGGTTTCGATAGCTTTAGAGTATGACACTTAACGGCGAACGGCTTTAATGATCGAATTTGATGCTCGAATTTCATCAGAATGTGTCGAGTCCGATCAAGTATTGTTTCACTAGAAATAGTTTATAGAATGACGCACATCAGAAGTACCGAAACTGTTCATTACGGTGCAAGAAGACAATGTAAGAAACCTTTTTAATACTACAGATTTGTAGAGAACTTTTTTCTTTACAAAACTGATGTATGTAAAAGTAAAATAAATATGATTCCAAACAGTCGCATAAATTTTTTTCACTTGAACGAATGAGCGATGGCAATGTTCGGACGGCTTCAACCAGAAGCTAGGTTCAGATTTCGTTAAATAAAAAGCGCACTTTGTCATACTATATCATGTAGAACGAACGTCAAATTCTGAGCGGAAGACCATGCAACATCCGATCTTAAAGTTTTTTTCGATAAAATCTGAACCTAGGTTCTGGTTGAAGGCATCCGAACATTGCCATCGATCATAGTTAATCATCTTTTTTCGAGAAAGAAACTGCACTAAAAAGTAGGTTATCTTGTAGAGCACAATTTCCTCTCTCGAATGGTATCTCATGGAATACATCTGAAGCTAAAATGAGCCCGCAGTGGGCAATAGAAAAAAGTGGTTGGATAATTTTGACGCTTGAAAAATTTGATATATGTTTTTTTTGTTTTAATAAAAAATGACCAATACGAAGTTCTGATGGAAGACTAACCACAAACATACTAGAGACGATGGGCTACAACATGGTAGAAATCGCAGGTCTCTAGCCACTTTCATCTCTGAAATATAAAACGAACAAAATTTTGTCATTAGGCGGTTGGACAATTTTGACAGCTACTGTATATCTCATCGATCACGCACCCTAAAATCGATCTGCATCGTTTGCTCAGTCAAGAAAAATTCAGATTGTGGACTAAATACAAAAAATTTCTTGTCAAACGAAATGGATTTGTACGTCTAGCAATAACAGGCTCAGTATTGGAGGCAGTTTTGATTTGTCTAAGGCTTTCGATCGTGTATCTCACTAGATGTCCAATCCAAAAATTAAAAATAAAAGGTCTGCAAGAAACTCTACTAAATTGGTTTACTTCTTAGTTAAGTAATCGCTTTCAATATGTCAGAGTAGGCAATACTCTTATAATATTCCAAAACATTTTTTTGATACAAATCAAGGTTCTGTAGTTGATTTTCATATTTATAAACGATTTGACTCCCTCAATTGTGTCTAATGTTTTGTACAGTATGTTTACTGGCGATCTTTTTGTTTTTTGTTCATTCAGTAAGCAAGACAATGTAACTGTCGTCCAAAACGTTCTTCAAAATGAAATAGATCATATAATCAGTTGTTACTAGTGTAGTACGAACTTAATGCCATTAAACTCAGACAGTTGTATTTGGGCTTACTTTTCTTTCTTCGCTTTACCACCAATCTCTCTTCGTTTCAATATAAAGGATAATCTGTTTAAACACTTGAAAATGCTGACAATTACGCTCTTGTTGAACAATTAGAACTTCTTAATTTAGTGGGGGGGGGGGGGGGGGGGGGGGCGCGGGGGGGGGGGGGTGGGTGGGGGGGGGGGTGGGTGTGGGGGTGGGGTTGGGGGGGGGGGCGGGGCGAGGGGGTGGGGGGGGGGGTG